GGAGGCAGAAGCAGGTGGATCTCTGTGAGTTCGAGGCCGGCCTGGTCTACAAAGTGAGTTCCAGGTCAGCTGGAGCTACAGGGAAACCCTGTCTCAAAATGACCAAAAAAGAAAAAAAAAAAAAAAAAAAAAAATCAATGATGTAGGTGGGCGTGGTGGCCCACACCTTTGCACTTGGAAGACAGAGGTGGTCAGACCTCTGTGAGGTCAAATCCAGCCTGGTCTGCATAGTAAGTTCCAGGCCACCTGGGGCTACAGGGAGACCCTGGCTTTAATTTTAAAAAAAAAGAATAGAAATATGAGTTTTGAACTGGTGCTGTTTTCAATCTTAAGTATATTTCACTGAAATTTCAAAGGAATCTTCACAGTAGTTGACTTAACTAAGAATCTTTCTTGGTGCCACAGGGATTTAAATTAAAGCTGGAAGACTGGGAAAGACTGTTTTCAAGGTATGCCAAGTCACCACTGCAAACTGTCTTTAGGAACTTTCTCAGCATACTGTTTAATTGATCCTCATGTAAAATTGAAGGGCGCTTACTCCTACTTATTGCTTCATTTATTTTAATATTTGTCAGGTGTGTGCCAATGTGCTCAGCTCTGAGTGGGCCCTGACACAGAAAGGGTATGTTCTGAGATGAAGGCATTCTTTTAGTGGTGATGGAGGCCTATACACCAACAATGATCACAATATGACATTTTTGCTGTAAATAAAGTTAGGCACAGGAATATGGGAACAACTGACTTCCTCATCATGGTACAGGGAATGATTTGGAAAGTAAATGACATTTGAGCTGATGCTGAAGGGCAATCAGCAGTCCTAAGGGCTGAGGATGGGACAGACCTGGAATAGTTACTTGAGACTGGCTTTCACATCACAATAAACAGCCAGAGTAGTTCCTTGGAGAGAAAATTACAGAGAAGCCAAAAACCTTCTTTCATGCTAAAACACTTTATAGAAACACTACAGAGAATTGAAGCCAAGAAGAAAACAGATAGGCAAGTGTTTGACTGAAGGGAATAAAGGATTCCATGACAGCTTTCCCTCACCAGATTTCCCAAGTGCTAGATCTAGAATTAGGATTCAAGCAGGTACTCATCAAAGAGGGTAAGATTCCCAGGTCTATAGTATTTTTATATTGAGAGTTACCTTCATGATATAAAAGAGGAAATAAAAAAAGACATGGGAGACACATTAGCTGAATGCATGTTCTGAAATACACAAGACCACTGGATGAAATCACAGGCAACTAAAATACATTCTCAAACCTCAGAACTTGACTTTATGGATTGTAACTGTACGTTCAATATTCAAGAACCAACAGGACATTCTAACATTACTTAGCACAGTCTTCACTAATCTTCACTACAGTCCAGAAAATATATTTCATGAATAGATTAATGAAGAATTAAACTATGATAACAGGGGAAAGGATCACAATTGGAGGACAGAGGGGAATTTGAAGTGCTTTAAAATGTACAATACAGAAGATACAAAGCAGATGGTATTCTGACTTCATTCTTGATTGAATTTCCCTAAGAGCTTGGACCGCAGAACCGTGAAATGGGTTTCTGGCCCTCTGCTACCTCCCCTAAGTGGCTTCAGTGAATTGAAAAGGAGCTTGGAAGACAAGAGCTCATAATCCTATGCAATGGTGCCAGACAGCTTCCCAGATGTGAGATCCTGGATACATACTGGTTTTCACTGTTTCAGAGAAGAATCTGGCATTCAAGTCAGCCTTTAGCTGCTTCCTTGAGTATCTTGAAGGTGGTCAGTTATCTATTTCTGTGGCTCAGTTTCCCTGTCTACCAAATAGGCATGAAACTTGCTATTGTTATTGAACCAAGCTCAGAGGGATGTTATGGAGGAGAAATTCTATGAGAAACAATAAGTCATATAGGTTTAAGGATGGAAAGACTTCTAAGATTTGAGGTTTTCTGTGTGCGATTGTGTATCCTGTATTACATCAACAAATATTTATTAAGCTACAACACGGTAGGGGCTTCCTGATACAAACCTGACACTATCTATTCCTCACTATTTTTTTTTTCTCCTGTCACTTGGTAATAAACACCAAAGTGCTCCAAACCTGCAATGTAAGGAGTATGTCCCAAGTACCACCCCTTGAGTGGTGGGTGGTCACCCATCCATGACCACATTGTAACAGGAGAATCCTGTGACCAGGCAGGTTCTAACCAAACACAACCAAATCAGAAGCAAAAGGCACTGCCTGCTGTTCTTAATCATTTCTTTTCCCATTCTTGATCCTTGACATCAAGTGGTATTCTTCTTTTTAAGAGTGTTTGTCCCAGTAATCAGCTCAGATGGTTAGCATTCTGAAAACAATCTTACAGATTTAAAGGTGACTTTAGTGGATTGAAAAGGGTCTTGGAAGGCTAGGATTCATAATCCTATGCAATGGTGCCAGACCGCTTCCCAGATACGAGATTCTGGAAGCTGTTCACATACTTCACAGATGATTTATGGATATGTAGACTATCACAGTATAAAGTAGATGATGGTAAATCATTATAGCCAACACTTTTTAAGTCTAAATAGGACTGAATTTCACACCCAAATGTTGGACTATTTAAAAGAGAACACAAAACTCCATTAAAAAAATCAGGCTGAGGGGCTAGATAGATGGCTCAGCAGTTCAGGGCACTTACTGCCCTTGTAAAGTACTGCGCTTTGGTTCTGCAGCACCCACATGGTGACTCACAGCTGCCTGAGATGCCTGTTCTAGGAGATACAATGCCCTCTTCTGGCCTCTGAGGGCTCCTGCATACATGTGATGCACATACATACATACATACATACATACCTAAATACATACATACCTAAAAAAATATTCAAAAAATCAGGTTGAATCAATTCTGAGACACAGGCATGGATTTTTATTTTTCAGTCTTACAGATTCTTGGTTATTCTATTAAGGGGACTCTTTCTTACCTTAGGGAGGTTAAGACAAATTCTGTTTAATTAACAGTTTGCCAGAATCTGCTAAGCCCCACAGGTAAGAGGAAGAACGTAAAGTTTATCTCTGGAATATTTTTCTCCATGTGAAAATGAGGCAGTGGAAAGAACTCCCGGAATGATTTCATTCCCGTTTTCATAAACGTGGAGCTCTTCTTCAGAGACCCCACCATACCTATAGCAGCTCCAAACATAAGCTCAAACTCTTCAGCCAGCCATTCCTCACTAAACGTTTTCAGACAGAACATTATGCAATATTTTCCAAAGTTTAAATACAGACCAGAATTTTAAGGTAAAAGCTGCCATTCTATCTAGCTAAAGAGCTGTAGAATGGTACAAGAATTATGGCTGTGTCTATAAATAGGGGAAAACAATGTTTAAAAAAAGGTACAGGCCAAGGGATTTTTAACGTTGTTTATGTGAATTTTAGAGAAGAACCCTTTTGTTACTGAGGCTCGTTTCTTCATAAACCTGGCATTGTAAACCAATATAGGATCGCTTCAGGTCTTAGTCTGCTGTTTCTTTTGGTAGAATTTGCCCTTTGGGCAGCAAGATTCAGCAAGTATATTTAAAAAAAAAAATTTAAGTGGATTTTTCCTTAGAACTTTGTAACTTCCTGAGATTTCTTTTGTCAATATGAACTATGATATGGTTCTTCTCAAAACAGAGCGACTACCTACACGACACACTATTTTTGCCTCTCTGGTATGCACTCAATAGATGCTATTTTTCAGACATGTGATCATGCTGTATCCAGTGATATTTTAAACAAAAGTCATTTAATGCTTCAGTGGCTATGGAACGTAAGCTGCATCCCTTTTTGAAGTAGATGACCTAACAGTGCCATATTTAAAAAAACATAACAGGGAAACAGACTCAGACCTAGTCTGAATGACTTCTCGTCTCTCACACATGAGTTCCTTTCTTAGAACGTCCTGTGTCCCGTTCACACAACACAAATACTTGGTGAGCCTCTTCGGGTTCCCATGAAGACCACAAGGACAAAAGCAAATTTATATTCAATTCAGAAGTGGCCAAATGTCTCCAGGTCTAAAGGGTGAGTAGGAAGAACCTCTGGGAGCAGAAAAGTGTGTGTGAGTCAGTTTGGGGGGTGATGGCTGTAATGTTTCATGTCCATGAGACTCAGATGGAAGGTCATAGGCCATTTCATGAGGTATTCATCAAAACTGACCAAGGAAAACTTTCAGCTAGACCAAGTCACAAAAAATCCCCCAAACTAAGACAACCATTAGATATTCTGATACTAGTGCAATAAAGGCACTCTTATTTATCAAGTTCTTTTTTAAAATTTTATTATTTTTATTTTATGTGTATGCATATATTGCCTGCATGTAGGTCAGTGCACCCCTATCGTGCAATGCCCGTGAAGGACAAAAAAGGCTATTGGATCCCTTGGAGCTGGAGTTAAGGACAGTTGTTAGCTGCCATGTGGGTGCTGGGATTCAAACCCAGGTCTTCTGCAAGAACAGTCAGTGTTCTTAACTGCTGAGCCATCTCTCCAGCCTTATCATTGAGTTCTTATTGAGAGGAGGCAGTATGCAAGTGCAAATTAGAAAGGGGCACCTCATTTAGGGAAGACCCACCAGGGAGAAAGCGAGCTGCTAGGAGGGCCGGGCTCAAATGTCATCCTGTTGCCTCAGGAAGAAATAATGTTAACAACTGGATGGGAACCCTGTTCACGCAGAACTCTCTTCCTCTCTCTTTTTCTCTTTCTCCCTCTGTGTCTCTCTTACAAATAATAAAAGAAAAAAAAAAAAAAGAAACCCACCCACCTAGAACTTTTATTTGTAGTCATTAAAGTATAGGATTATGTCAGAATGAAATAATTAAATTCTTTATAACAAACACAAAATTCATTCTGCATAAAATCAAATGAGCTTAAAATGACACCAGATAAAGAAACCTTGTAACAATGCTGTCCAAGAGCAATGGTAAATAAATAAATAAATAAATAAATAAATAAATAAATAAATAGGTTTTACCACCAAGAGAGTGGAATACTCACCACCATCTTCAACTGTAAAGTGGAACATATCACTTGTGGCATTAGCCCCCTCTCTTAAGACATAGCATATTTTCATGTTATCAATGTCAGCTAGAAGATAATCAAAAAGCAAGATCATTAATTACTGGAGCACAATTGATGGCTTGTACTTACAATAAATCCTATTGGTATCATGTTTCTATAAGTGTGTTTAGATCTCCTTCTAGATGAAACAGGGCTTAGTTCTCATATCTCTAAGCCCCTTGATATCAGCTGTCCCATGGAAATTTGATCTGGCACACAGATAAACAGAGGGGAAGACTTACATTATAATAATAGCAAGGTGGTGTCCCTCCCATTGGTGTGTATGTGTTCATGCACCAAAGGAGTGGCTAGGCTATCTAAATACAGAATGTCAGGCACTGCGACAGGTGGAAAGGGAGATATTTTGAGGCATGGCAGATTTCCCCAGGCTTTTGAAATCACACTCTTTGTGTTGCTGCCGGGTCAGCCCTACCAACAGGCAAAGGAAAGTGTGGAGGCATTCCTCTCTGCTGTAGCTCTTTTGCTTTTTTTAAAAAATACTTTATTTATTATTTTTATTTTGTGTACAAGTGCACAGCCTGCATATTTGTAAGTGTACCCGTGTTGTGCAATGCCCAGAGAGATCAGAAGAGTGCGTCCAATTCCTTGGAATTGGAGTTATGGCAGTTGTTTGCCTCCATGTAGGTGCTGGGAATTGAACTCAGGTCCTCTGCAAGAGCAGTCAGTGCTCTTAACTGCTGAGTCATCTCTCCAGTTCCTGCAGCTCTTTTTCTCAACTTTTATGGTATAATCGATGACTTTTAATTTTGCAAAGTTTGAAAGGAAAAAAAATCAAGAAGATATTTTTTAATATCCAACAGATTTAAATAACTATAAAGACTTAATGCTAGTGAGAACTTAAAATAAAAAAATCTAATAGAAATGAAAACCTTTATGCACAAGAGAGACTTACACCATCTCAGAACCATCCCTTGCCCTGCTTCCTAGTCTATCAAAATCAGGTGCGTAGATTTGTTGACATTATTAAGATGCAATTTTAAAAATTCATCTATTTTACCAGCTCTATTAAGTTCATGCTGTGGAGTTTACAGAGGTTCTAAATAAAACAATGACTAAGAAAGAACCCGCTGAGTGAGCACAGACGGATTTCCGAGTCCATCCTTTAGAGATGTGAAACCTGAGCTGTATCTGACTCAACAAGTCCTGAAAGACGACACATGTACAATCAGGAGTTGCTGGGAATGGGAACAAGTGATTGTCAGCCATAATGCCTACTCGCTAATAGAGGTTCCTGGAGGGGAAGCAAGTCCAAATGTCTTGCTCTCTATAGTCCTTGACTTCTAACTCTGCCACACCTTCCCATTCTTCTGGTTTAGGTTTAGTGTGTCTTTCTGTACAGCTATCTTCACCAGCAGATTAAAAACTTCTGATCATGGTGCCTCCCCTGCCAGATGATGCTCATTCATTAAAGGAGTGCCAAGCAGGGTCCCTGGAGCCTCACCTGAGTACCCAGACAACTAGTCCAGCCTTGGGAGACAAAAGAAAAATGAGGAAGAACCCAATAGAGGGATGCTTTTGGAAGTCCTCGTCAAGAAATGCCAATGGACTTTTATATAAACATTTGAAAATTGCCCTGTTCTGACTTTTTTCTAGTTCCTAGTCTCGAACTTGTAATGCTAATTACTTTTGCCTTTACTTCTCTTTCACATCTCCTATTCATGATTCAAGGACTTTCTTCTCCCCTTAGAGACAAGAGTTATGCAATTTGGGAGTCTTTTAGATAGACCCACTGAAGGGGTCTACCCCAATTGCCTCACCCTGTGACCCTGTTCAGCATGGAAGAAGCCAGAATGGTTGGTGTCCCTATTCCATATTGGCAATTTGGGTAACCCCTTCAGGGGATGGCATGATAAGAATAGGAGGTAGGAATTGGCTAGGCAGTTAGGATAAAAAGACCCCAAAGAAATGTAGCCAGTTTCTGAGCTAAAAGTCAAGATATCCTTGGGCCTGTTAGCAGCACACTCTGTTCCAAAGGCCAAAAATGTCAAAAGTATTTGGGAGCTTGTATCTAATCCTTAAAAGATTTTAGGGTTACCGCTTCAGAGGGGGTAATGTTGGAGGGAAGGGAGTGTGCATGGATTTGATCAAAACACCTTATATGCATGTATGAAATTCTCAATAAAGTTTTTGTAAAAATTAAAAAAAAAAAACAACTTCTGAAATTCTTTCTGCCATCTTAACTTGCGATCGTCCTCTGCCAAAGGTCTTATAGTCAGTAGGAGCTCACCCGTCTTAAACTGAATGAAGGAAATGAGTGGTCTAGCTCTCATCTGCATATCCACTTCCCCTTGAGTGAGTTTCTGCAGGGCTAACAAGCACAGCCCCTGCAAGCTCTTGGCTCTCTTGCTGTTAAAGCTCTGCCCTTTATCAGTATGGAATGAAGAGTATGCTGTTGACTACACATCCCTACCTTGGGGACAATGGAGTCATGCAGGAAGGCTCTTCCAATGTTCTCATCTATTCTTAAATTTTGTATGAAAAGCTAAAGACTCTACTAGGAGACAAAAGCATTAATTAAGAAAATAAACCTGGGGCTGGAGAGATGGCTCAGCGATTAAGAGCACTGACTGCTCTTGCAGAGGACCTGGGTTCGATTGCCAGCAGCCACATGACGGCTATGAACCGTCCTTAACTCCAGTTCCAGGGGAATCCACAGTCCTCTTCTGACCTCCGCGGCATTGCACGACACGGTGCACTCACATACATGCAGGCAATACACTCATACACATAAAATTAAAAAGAAAAGAAAAGAAACCTTCCTAATACACAAAATAGGTAGATATTTTCTCAATAAAAATTCAGCACTCAGCCAGGCATTATGGCGCACACCTTTGATCCCAGCACTCAGGAGGCAGAGACAGGTGGCTCTCTGTGAGACTGAGGTCCTGGTCTACGTAGCAAATTCCAGATCATTTGGGGCTACAGGGAGACCCTGTCTCAAAAAGACTTAAGAAAAAAACAACATTCAAAGATAGTTTCAATGAACTAAATAACTACCTAAAAACTTTCCATTTCCCCTGTAATTTGTTAAAATTGGCTCATAGTTCAAAAAGGAGACTCTTAGAATCTCAAGTACATAAAGACTCTGATAATAATGTTATTCTACAGGCACCTCTAAAACATAAGCATACAAACCTAATAAACAGCAGTCTCCTTAAAGGACACAAATATTAAGAAGATGTAATCAGAAGCAGAGAGCTGAAAGGTCATCTTCTTTAATCAAACATCTGAAAATTAGATTTTCTTCTACGTGCTATATGTGACATGTTTATTTCAGTTGATCTACATGACCAACCATAGCTTCTATTCTAATCCATTAATATCTCTGGTAATCACACCTGGCTCGCACTTTGGAGGGGCATTTCTGCCTTTCTGAAAGTGGTTTACAAATTATCCTACAAAATATCATTATATACTCTCTGCAGAGAAAAAAACAAAGTCCAGGTACTTGAGACAAGTGATTTAGACTGGGAAGCAAGGGGTGCTGGTATAGACAGGGACACCTTGAAAACAGTGAAGCTTGAAGCAAATCATTCCTCTAATTTTCCTAACCCTACCTTGTAAACTTTTCCCAATAATGATTTTTCAGAAATCTTTGTAATACGTGAAAAATTTCTTTTAAGAATCACTTAATCAACAGGAATAAACCTTCTCTGGCTACCCTTGCTAGAAGTGACTTAACTCCATGAAAATATATTTCAGTTATCTCTTCATGATAAGGCAAAAACGAAAACAAAGACTGCACAGACACAATCCTCCCTCCCAACACTACTCTCATCTACCCACAGCAGAAACAGCCAGTAGCTTTCCTCATGATGGAGCGCTCTCCATCGCTAATCACCTATCTAATCGCCATAAATAACTGCTGTGATCCGAACTCCAGCCTCAACTTGTTCAAATGACTGCTGTATGATTAAATATCAGCAGTTTTCCTAGTCAGTGTTTCAGTTTGTATTGGAATGGGGTAAGTTCCCTTACAATATAATTTTTAAAGCTACATTTTTTACAATAAAATATAACTAGTCCACACTTACAAAGATCCTAAAAATTAATCTTGGTAACTCAGCAGAAACACAACAAACTGCCTATGAAATAGCATAATTGTAAGATTCAATATCAATAAGGAATGATATGCCAATATTTTGAACTGTTGGATTTGGCTCATAAAATTTAAATGAAATTATTTGCTCATCTTTGCCCCCAAATTCTTTTTTTAAAAACCTGTAAAACCAGAAGGTTTAGTGTCAGAGGAAGGAATCTAAAGTACCGTTTTCTATCTTCTACTGTATTGCTTTCAGTCTCTTTACTTTCCGTGAAAATTTGTCAGCCACACATTGCACAGCATCCTAGCTGAAAGCCTTTGCAAAAGGTCTCCCTCTGGTCTGGTGTGACTCTGCACTCTGGGGTTTTCCTGCCCCTGCAGGCCCTGGGATACATGCAGGCTTTCAGCCAAGAATCAGGGGCTGGAGTATGAAGCTGTTTGTCAGCATCAACCAGAAAAGCAGTTCACTTTAACACTACATCTATGCCTCGTAAAGTGTTATCTAAGAGTAGAACACTATAGCAGGAAAAGAACACCTCCATTGGGATGCCCTGGGGTTACACTCCATTTCCACCCACAGAGCCCACACAGGGAAGATCTAGTTTCCATTCTGATGCAGAGAGATTTTCATAAAAGCAACACAAATCCCTTTTGTAATGAACGTTGCATGATCTGGAGAATAGAGACCTAACTCCCCAGCTAGCACACTGAATGGCTTGTCCCTTCCCTCTCTGAACAACTCAGAGGTCACCTGCCCTTCCTGTCTCAGACTGCATCAGCCCAGGGGAGAGTCAGGTCAGAAGTCCCAGCTGTCTCAAGAGCCTCAGGAATGCAGGCACTTGAGGCTACTGGTGCCTGATGCTATGGTTTTGACAGGGAAGGAAAGGCTTTCTCAGGAAATTTTTTTAAAAAAAATTCATAAAAAATACAATGTAATTAACGATAAGTAAAAATAATTTAATAGCAAACAATAAAACAGTTAATAAAAATAACATATAATAATGAAATATATAATGAAATCATAAAATAATGAAAAATAATGATGAAACAATGCCCTCCTTCAACAATTAATCTTCTTTTCATACCTTCAGGTTCTTAACTAAAGATGGATGACTAATTAGGAAATGAATATACAGTTGTCCTATACAGCATTAGTTACACAGTCTCTTTTTGTACATATCGTATCAGCACACCCTGTTATATGATACATAATTTTAAAAACTCCGGATAAGTCTGGTTATCTCTTACATCTGGGAACAGGTGTTTTCCTGAGTCATAAAATAGTAAAAATAATTTCTAAACTTCTCAGAGTAGTTGTGGGAGTGGTGGCACACCCCATTAATCCTAGCACTTAGGAGGCAGAAGCAAGCAAATCTCTGTGAGTATGAGACCAGCCTGGTCTACATACTGAGTTCAAGTCAGAGAGCACTACATAGTGAGACTCTGTCTCAAAAAAAATAACCAACAAAACAAAAATCTCAAAGTAAACACAAACGTTTTCTTTTAGTTAAAAGTTCCTAACAGTCACACCAGTTTCAATCCAGTATTCCAAAATATAAAGTAATAGGCACTTGGGACTGGAGAGATGGCTCAGCAGTTAAGAGCACAGCTCTCCCAGAGGACCCAGGCTGGGTTCCCAGCACCCATATGATGGCTAACAACTATCTGTAATTCCAATTCCAGGAGATTTGATGGCCTCTTCTGGACTCCATGGGCACTGCATGCATGTGGGTGCACATACATACATGCAGGCAAACACTCATACCCATAAAATATAAATAAATAAATTTAAAAAAAAAGAAATAGGCACTTACAGGCATTTGGTTTGAATGTAAATTGATAACAACAACAAGATGAATAAATCTAATTTAGACTGCACATCTTTTTTTAAGGCACTAAAACGTTTCATGGACTATATGCAGTGTACCATACAGAGGATGTATATCAAGAGGACAGGTGTGGGAAATGCTGAAGAGTTGAAAAGTTAGCTTCCATGATAATTCCCCAAAGTCTTGCTCCTGCTTTATCAACAGATCTTGTCACTATCAAAGTACCTTGATACTCATTTTAATTAAGGTCACCACAAAGTGGAGGTATTTTCCCAGGAAGGTGAGCATCTGTGTTCCCCTCCTTCCCTACCATCCTTTCACTTTCCCTTCCCCTCAACTCTACTTTGATGCTCTACTCGTAAGGCTTTTGGTGACAGGCACATTCTAAAGAAATAAAGCCTAGAAAGTGCTTTGGTTATAAACAAAAGGAGAAGCAGGCCATACCTTGGGTAAACTGCATGATGCTGTGGTTGCCTTTGCCCAGGTTGAGAAGATAACCATGCTGAGGGGTTTTGGTCACAACAAACCTAAGAGAAAAATGAAGGCTGTCTCTGTCCTCCACTCTCAGTATTTTGCTTGTGATCATGAAGCCCAAGTGGCCAGTGGCCAGAGTGCGAAGTGTAGAAGCTCCTTTGTTCACTGCAATTTGGGGGACACTGTTGTCCACAGCTAGCACCTGGATCTTCATCACTTGAGGTCTCCTAGTTTCAAATACTGTATCAGGAAAAACATAGAAGTCTGAATGGGTGCCGTCAGTCACTGTGAAGGAGAAGCTATCTTCTGTTGACTCTGTGCCATCATGCTTGTAGCTGATTAAGTTTTCATTCAAGTCTTGCTTGGTAAAAACCATGACAGATCTGCTATTGTTGTATAGGAGATGACCATGAACAGGAACCTGGGTGACAGTGAATTTCAAGAGCTTGTCGGGAGTATCTCTGTCTTCAACAGTGAGTTCAAAGGGAGTGATCAGCTTGCTTTCACTTTCAGTGACCACCAACTTATGGATGGTGACTACTGGCTTTTTGTTGTCCACATCACTTATGGAGATACGGAAAGTTCGGAAGACTGGGTTACGTCCGTCGGTGACTTGAAACTCAAAACTGTCCATCTTGACCTCATCCTCAGCCGTGTGAATGTAGTAGATTTTGTTACCAGCCAGCTGTAGTTGAGTGAAAGAAGTGATAGACCTTCCATGTTGATCTGTGCACTCTAAGTGACCTCTCATAGGTGCCCTTGTGATGGTGAAAACTAAGTTCTCATCAGGACTATTCAAGTCACTGGTGCTCAGTAGGTCCGTAGTGAGAGTGACTTTGCCACCTTCTTTCAAGGATACTCCCTTACTTATCACATCAGGGAATACAATGTCAGCACTTCCAATAGATACGTAGAAGTATCGATCTATGAGGGCATTCATTCCATCTGTCACATCAAATTTAATTAAGTCTCGAATGCCCTCTTGCCCAATATGGACATACTGAATTAAGTTTCTGTCCACTTCATCCTGGGTAAAATTCATGCCCAGAGTGATATTTTCAAAGACACCAGTAGGTGTTTGTCTTTGTAATAAGCCATGTCCTGGTCCATAACGAATAATATAAACCAAGGATTTGTCTTCAGAGTCTAAATCAGTTGCCATTAGTATTTTGTTGTTGATAACTTTGGTCTCCCCAATTTCTATTTCCAGCCCATTATTGATGGTCATCCTGGGGGTCTCGTCATCAACAGGGATGACCACAATGAGGACTGTCTTTTCCACAGAGTGCTTGCCATCTGTCAGTTTAATCACAAAACTGTCTTCCTGGGTCTCAGAGTCATCATGCTCATAGATAATGCTGGAACTTTCTATGATCTGGTCCAGGGTGAAGCTTTCAACCAACACTGTGCCATTGATGAGCTGGTTCATGATATGACCATGATCAGGAAATCGGGTAATGGTGAAAGTTAGATCATCTGGGGGGATGTCAGCATCAGCAGCATTGAGAATGGGTGTATCAACCACCAGACTCATGCCCTCCATCACCATGAATTCCCTCATGTACATTTCTGGCTGTTCATCGTTGGTAGGAATGATTACAATAGGGAAAAACTGTCTGTCTGAAAAGTTAATGCCATCAGAACAACGAAATATAAAACGGTCTTCCACAGGTTCTACCCCTTTATGAACACTCTGGACATAGTTAATGTGTCCTTGCCTAAGATCTTTCAGAGTAAAAGCACTTATGGCAATCCCAGCTCTTGACTTCTCAGAGCCTGGTGCTGGAGAAATGTTCTCTACATAACCTGAGGTCGGCTGACTAACTATGGTACACAAGAGGTCATCATTCAGGGAATCGATATCCTCAGCACTTATGTGGGTTGACATTATAACACTTTTATCACCTTCCAATACTACAAACTGTTCATCTACAGAAATTTCTGGGGCTTGGCTATCCACAGGGAGGATGGTCACCCACACAGTAACACCCTGAATAATATTGTTACCAATTCTCCATTCTTGAGACATATCTGACAGACTCAGATTAAAAGAGTCTGCTTTGGGCAATAGGCCAATCTCACCACTGGTGTGGGCATAGACAACAGAGCCCTCCAAGATGTCCCTCTGTGTGAACTGTTCTGCTGGAGCGCCATTGACCAGGATTTCCCCATATAAGGGTGGATCTTCCAACAGGAAAGTCAACATCAAATCATCAGTGTCCTGATAGGGCCCCTTAATTACATTGGCAGTGACTTCAGTAGCCCCATTTTCTAAGACATCTAGATAGGACTCCAGAGTACCAGCAGGAAGGATGGGCATGGACGCTTCACGGTCCACTGACCGGACATTCACTCTGAGAGTGATGGGCACCACATGGTGTCTGTCACTGACCTCCAAAGAGCAACTATCAGTCAAAGACTCATCACCATTATGAATATAGGAAATTCGGCCCTGCTTTATATCCTCCAAATGAAAGCGCCCTCCAACATGCAGTGTCTGTCCAGATATCTGCATGTGGCCATGTTTGGGGGCCACTGTGAGAGTAAAAGAGATGTGTGCCACATCAGTGTCAACATCATTTACATGCAACTCCGTTTCACCCAGGATGTGGTAGCCCCTTTCCTGAATAGTGAAGCCAGTGTTGAGGATCTCAGGGGGCTGGTTGTCTACAGGCTGCAGGTAAAGGGTGAAGGTGCCAGGAGCCACATTTCCAGCTCGGTCCTCCACTTGGAACTGGAACTGAGCCACTCGAGCTGCCACTCCCAGTTCCTGGCCTGGAGGCCTGTAAGCAATTTTATGATGGTTGACCTGGGCTTGGGTAAAATGGGTCACCACAACTGAGGGGTTATCAGTGAGGACCAAAGTGCCTAGTGGAGCTGGTGAATGGTTTTCATCTGTGTCCACAGGGGGCTGGGTCACTGTGTAACGTAGTTCTCGGTCATCTGTGTCCAAGTCAGTGTAGCGCAACCACTTTTTTCTCAGTGGTGTGAGCTGGGATTCCTGAACCACCATCCGAAGGGGACAGCCACTGCCTAGCTCCGGAGGAAGGCGATCCACAGGATGAATGCGTATCACAAACCTCTGGATCCCAGATTGATTAGGGGGGTCGTGGTTGTCCTGCACTCTAAATGTGAGCTGGTCCATCACTGGTTGAGGACTGTGGGTTCCAGAGTGCCTGTAGAAGAGCCTTCCCTCTGTTATGTCCTGCTGACGCCACTCTGTCACTGTTCGCTCATAGAACACTCCTTGCTTCCTCCACAGTCCCTGGATCAGCTCCTGCTCTTTGGGAGGATGAGCTTGGCGGAGAAGCAGATGCCCTGTGGTTGAGAAGGGTGACTCCAGCATAAATCGCAGCTGAGAGTCATCTGAATCCATGTCAGTTGCACTCAGAGCAAAGGGTGAGATAGGCACCATTTCACCCTCTGCCAGTGTCAGCCCGGTGTTGGCATTGAGGACAGGTGCCTGGTCATCCACAGGCACCAAGGTGATGGGAAACAGGAAATGGACCTGGTGCTTGCCTCCTCCATCTGTCATGCGTAGCACCAGGTTGTCGCTCAGTGAACCGTCTCTGTCATCATGCTGGTAGACCACCTGGCCAGCTGCCAGCTCAGCCACTGTGAAAGACTTAGGAGCAGGGCTGTCACTGGAAGCACCCAGAATAATAAGGTGGCCATGCCGGAGCCCAGCCACCACCTCCAGTCTCACAGCTTCTAGGTCATCTTCATCGCTGATGACCAAATTTTGGGGTCCACTGCCTATGGGACCTGTGAGGGACCGATACTGACCCTCATAGAGAATAAGGCCAATGTTTCGCGTGACCACTGGAGCCAGTGTATTCATGGGCTTCACCACTACCATGAACGCGAAAGGGTCGGAGGCTGCTCCTTCTGGGTCCACTACCTCCATCTCCAGTTCGAATAGACGCTCCTGGTCAGAGTCCTCAGAGGGGGGCTGGTAGGCAATCTTCAGGAGGCGCAAATCCCGTTGTGTAAAGGAGGAGAGAGGAAGGTTGCGGTCGTCAGTGCTCACCAAGTAGCCTTGCCCAGTCTGGAAGGCAGAAGTGAGGTTGAAGATCAAGAGGTCGGGGTCAGACTCAGCATCCTCAGCTGCCAACATGTCCGGAGTCAGGGCGGTGAGTACAAACTGGTCCACCTCCACCATCATCATAGCCACGAAACTGGGCTTGGGTGCAGAGTTCTCAGCTCCTCCTCTGATCCTCACAAGCACCTGGAAGTGTTCGCGTTTTAAAGGCGGGCTGCCCACAGGAGACCCTCGCGAACGCAGTTCCACCACCATAGGCACCCAGTCCCTGTTGGGTGAGCGACTGGGGGCTGTGTGGCGATAGCGCACCCCCAGCTCTTGGAAAGCTTTGCAGTCCATCAAAAGAGTCTCCGAGGCACCTCCCTCCCCGGCTCCTCCAGGGACCTGTGGGTAATGAAGGAGTTCTCCATAGCGAGGCAAAGCACTCAAGCCAGACAGAATGCCCACGCGGCACTCCTCGGTCTCTGGATGGTAGGCGAACTCTAAGCTCCGAGCGTCGAGGGCGTTGCTGGTCCCCAGTAGCTCTTCCACGACCAGAGGTAAGTTCCGAGTCACAATCTCCAGCTGAGTGAAGACCACTTCCACCTCTAGGGCCAGTGGCAGCACTATCGCCCCTCCTGGGGCATCGTAGCGCAGCTGCAGCCGGACGCGGTCCCGCGAAGGGCTGCGAGCGCCCAGGTGCGAGTAGCGCACCTCGCCCGGGCCGAAGTCGCACGGGAAGCGCTTGGGACTCAAGCGGCCAGGCCGCTGGGCCAGCGCGTCGTTGTCTAGCACTGTCACCAAGCAGCGATCCCCGGGCTGCACCTGAAACACTAAGTCATGAAGCGGATCCAGCCAGACTTCACGCCCGAAGGGCACCCGGAGCCCGCGGTTCGCCACCACTATGGCTTCCTCCGCAGGGACCCCCGCAGCCCCGGCGAGACCCGGGGACAGCGGTGCGGCGCCGGGGGCTGCGGGCTGTGCGGCAGTGCGGCTTACCAGTGACAGGAGGAGCAGCAGCAGCCTGGGTGGCGGCGCAGGTCCCGGCCGCGGGCTGGGGGAATCGGCTGTCCTGCCCGCGCTGGGGGCGTTCCGGGGAGTCCGGGTTGCGGGCATGGTCCGGGCGGTAGTGATCGGACAAGGCAGCCTGAGAGCATGCAAAGTCGGTCCGGGTGCAGGCTACAAGGGATCCCTCCGGGAAGAGCCGGGAACTCCGCGCCCAGCCCGCGGGGTCCTCCGCTAGCGCCGCCGGGCCGGGAGGATGGGGAAGCGCGCCAAGCGGTCCGGCTGGGACCAAGATGCTAAACCCTCCCAGCCGGTCCCGCTCCTCTGCTCCCCGGCGGGTGGCAGGCAGGAGAGTCCCAACTTCCCAGGTCTGGGGACCTTGGGCTTTGAGGGAAATCCCTCCTCCCCTCGCACCCTTACTCCAGTCCTCCCAGGAGGCCAATCGCTGGTCTCAGGAGGAGGCTCCGAGTCCCACGGTTGGGTAGTGACTCCTGTCAATCAGCTCCCAGGGGCCGCGGCGGGGAAACTGCGGGGAGCCGAGCGGAGAGAAAGGCGCAACAGGTTGTCCCGGAGTGCGCGGCCTGCAGCTGCTTCACCTCTGGCTTAGATGCGGGCTGCGGCCGAGCCAGGGGCCCTCGCTCCTCTGCGACCGGGATCCACCGGTTTCAGTCCTCCTCCCCCTCCACTGAAATCCAGCTCGGGATGGTCCTTTCTTACCGAAATTTGCAAAGCTAAACACAGTGTTCCCAGAGTTTGAATAGAAACCAAAGCAGTTTAGGAAGACACTCAGCGGCCTGTTTTGAAAAGGACAGCTGGATTAAAAGCTGGTGGTACCTACCCCTCACCCCCACCCCGCTGCCTCCGCATACATACATTACAATGGGCACAGTCCTAGGATTGGTGAGTTTTTAACAAGCCCCTCCTTTGCAACAAAGTTCACAGAGTTAAAGGGGTGGGGGGTGGGGGGACACTTGGAATGTGCCAGAAATGCAGTCTGATCGGAATCGCTAGTCATGCACCAAAGAAGTTCTAGGGAATGTAGCCCCAGGCTGTGCCCAAGCCACCGCTGTTAGGGCAGCTAGCTGTCAGTGCCGACGCTCCAGCTCTCTTCTACTTAATTAGACCAAATACGAACTAAACCCACTTGTCAGCGGCACAAATCTTTGCACGCTGAGAGAACTGATAAATATCTGGAGGGCAAAGAAACATAGTTTAGAACTCCTTTCAGTCAGTGTGAAGACGGAGCGTGAGAGCTTCCTGCCCCCTTGTGTTGGCTGAATCTCAGTAGTGTGCCTCATTCGCTTTAAAAGGTTTCGGTTTTGAGACCCCTTCCCCCATCCCGACAGCCTCATAATCAAAACCCAGCCATTTTCAATAGATTCCTGAACAGCCTTATTTATCATGTCAGAATGCTTTACTTGGGGGTAATGTTCTTTCTTCTCCAACAATACAATTGTGATTATGAGACAAGGAATTGAAATCATAGTCATTCTGTCCCTTTCCTCCTTGATAATACACTAAATTTGGAAAAGAAGTGTGTGGAAAAACTGTCAATGCCCATTTTAAGTTTCTGTCTGAAAGAAGTAAGATTTGGGTGTGGGGAATTTTAGGTGGAAATGCCAATCCTTTTAACCTTTGGTGCTGTTGGCTTGAGCCCCCATAGTTTAGGACTTTGACACCTGACTGTCAGTTTCAGATATTTTCCAGGGCAGAGCATTAATGGTCATTCATAAATTTTCCTTGAACTATCATCAGATTCTGTTCTAAGAAGCTGACTGGTCAGTCTCTGGAGTCAGAAATGGAAAGTTTTGAAACTCCGAAAAAAAGAACAAAGCAATTAATGCAAACACTTTTTACTCCTATGTACAAAACTCATCACAATGTGTTACAAAAATAGAAAGGACTCGGCCGGTATTTTAAACACGTGAAAAAAATCCCATCCAACTCCTTGCCAATTTCCAATTCTGTTTGATATTATTATTTTATAATTCATCGCAATTATTTATCGTGTCAATTAGCACCCAAAGTGCCAAGACATGAAAATATCCTATTTTTTGTTCACAAAAACATAGGAAGATGCCAAGTGGAATAGAAAAATCAATTTCAGAATAAGGATCTTCCTGTGTTATGCTTTAACTCTAGTTGTGTGCTTTCATTGAGAAAAAGTGTCAAAGGGAAGCCAAGTATCTTTACCTGGGCATTGTGACCCTGGGGGATTTCTGACCAGAAGTGGAGCAGCAGCCTGGCCATGGTACTTCCCAGTGCTCCAGGGTTTTCTTTTAAAGTGCAACTCTGTTTGATTTGCCAGCAGTGATAAGATCAGTATTTGAAGTATGGTAGGGTGCCTGAAGGGCAGGGTTCAATATTTTGTTTCATGCTCAGAATACAGGTCCACATTTATTTTGAAGGGGCCTAAGGAGATCAATAAACTGAAATATTTTGTGACTTTTAATTTCGCCTCCCTTGACTGAAGTGCTGGCAAGATTCTTAGGAACATTTTTTTTTAAGTAAAAATCCTAGTATTTTTTCAAAATCATTTTAGCAATGCGTATTTGCTTAAATATCCTTTGTACTGGTGATCATTCAAAGCAGTAAAATATTACATTTTAAAAACTATTTTATTTATTATTTTTATTTTATGCGTATGAGTGTATTGCCTGCATGGATGTGAGTGCACCCGTGTCATGCAATGCTGCGGAGGTCAGAAGAGGGCTTCAGATTCCCCTGGAACTGGAGTTAAGGATGGTTCGCAGCCACCATGTGGGTGCTGGGAATCGAACCAGGGTCCTCTGCAAGAGCAGTCAGTGCTCTTGACCGCTGAGCCATGGCTCCAGCCCCGAAATATTACATTTTAATCTGAGAGAAACTATAACTGATATTTTGCATAATAGCTTGACATTAAAAGATTTCTGTGCTTAAATTAGCAGGAAAATATCATTTTAGGGAAAAGGTTCTCAATATCAAAAGTAATAAAACAAGGTAACAAATGCATGTTGTTTTTTTGTTTTGTTTTGTTTTTTTTTAAATCTAAGCTCAACTCTTTAGTCTTTATTTTCTTAAGCCTTAGACCACTTCTTGTACACACTCTGGACAAAATACTCCTTGGAAGGAATTCTTAAATTTTTTACTACCTAATAATTGCACAAAATGTCTCTTTCAAAACAACTAAAAGTTAAATTTATTGAGAGCCGAAACGTGAATAATTTCTGACATAAGGTTAAGTACTAGAGAACTTGTTTCCTAAAATAAAGGAGGTATTTAAGATGTAGGCAAGATAGATGTCAGGTGGAAATTCACTGGCTGTTCTGGAAATACAAAGTTAGACCGGTGCTAAAGGGAGATCTGGTTAAATTTAAATATTGCTTCACTTTCTTTATATTCATCTGTTTATCTAAAAAAGTCAGAGATGGACTTTAAAAATATGAACAGTTCTTCTTTGGTACCCATGGGAGAGTGGTTTCAGGAACTCCCCACCCCTCCCCAGAAACTCAACTGACTGTGCATGCCCTGTATATAAAATGGTATAGTGTTTGCATATAATCTATGCATACTGTCCAACACACTTCGAATCATTTCTAGGTTGTTTAGCATGTCCAACACAATATAAATGATGTATAAGTAGTTGCTGTGCTATTTTGTTTAGAAAACAAACATATAAGGAAAATAGTCTGTACGTGATTGATGCAGACACAATGCTTTTTGGATATTTTCAGTCAGTGGTTGGTTGACTCCAAGGATATGGCAGCTATGGATATAGAGGGCCAGCTGAACCTGAGACCGGAGATGAAAGCTTTGTGTGAATATCTCATTAGTTCGCAACAGAGTCTTATTTTTGAGTAGCTTCCAAACTGAGGCTTTCCTATAAACACAAAATTGACTGATTTCAGAGAAAACAGTAAGGGAGAGCAAACAGGCCTGGACTGATCATTAATCAGGAAGAGGGCCTGTCACTAGCTATGGAACTTGAAGCAGATCTCATTACGTTTCCCAACTGATGTTTCAAAGGTAAAACAAGGAACTCTATCCTTGAGGATAAGTTCCCTTAGAGTTCTAAGATGCTACTGCAAATTTATGGACGACCTGCCTTTTGCATCCTCATCTTCTATGGTCATTGGCTATAGTTCTCATTCTCAATAGAAACTGACTCAACTAATTTAAATTTTTATTTGTTTATTTATTTGATTTATTTTTATGTCTATAAGTCTTTTGTCTGCATGTGTGTAAGACACCATGTCTATGCAATGCCTGTAGAGGCTAGAAAAGGGCATAGGATCTCCTGGAATTGGAATGGCAGAGAATTGTGAGCTGTCAGGTAGATAGATGTTGGAGGCCATACCCCGGTTCTCTGCAAGAGCAGCTGCTCTTGGCCTCTGAGCCACTGCACCAGCCCCAACTCAATTAATTTTTAAAACATATATCACTGTTATGAGATTGGGAAATTTAGATCTCACACGACATGCTCCTTATCAAAGACAGTTGCTCCTTGCCAAGATAAGCAATGTTTGCATCTTTTGTTGCGCACAGCTTAGATACAGTTGAAAGTGACTAGTTTTTTTTTTCCACTCAAAGGAAATTGAAATAAAAACCTGGCAATATAAAAGTAAATTAAGTCTATTAGGAAGATAAGTGAGATTTCAAGATGGATTAAGTGATACACAGGATAGATGAGATTTCATGATGGATCAAGGGACATACAAGATAGATAACATTTCAAGATAAACTGAATGATGCACATGGCTTATAAGCACCCATAACTATGTTTTAGGCAAATCTGTGTTTAGATGGGAGTCTACTGTGCTAAGAAGAAAGAACAATGGATTAGAAGCCAGAAAATACTGATTAAAAACACAAAGAGCTCACTGAAGTGCATGACAAGTCATCATATCCATCTCTAAAGCTGTGTTTGGAGACGAGGTAATGTATATGTATATGTAAATACAGAATGTGTGTATATTTATATAGATATGTATGGAAATAGAAATGAAGAAAAGCAGTCATTTTCAAATCTTGTCACTGTCTCTCTCTGTATATGATATATATATATATATATTCATAGGTTTATAGACCAAATATTTTCTAAGTAAAGCGGGGGCTACAGGGAGGCCCTGTCT